TTTCTTTCTTTCTTTCTTTCTTTCTTTCTTCATCTTTCTTTCTATCTATATTATCCCATATTCACCTTGGTTCCACTGTAACTATACCCATGCATGTTGACCAAGTCTTCAGGATACTGGAATTCATCAGAATCATTGATCTCACACKTTTCACTACTCTGATGGAAGTTATAAGATAAGCACTGCTTGTCGCTGAGGTAACACATGATTTTACACATGGACTGTGAAGAGACAGTCAGCTTCTGGATGGTGTGATTACGGAGATAGCTGTCAGACTTCTCTGGGAGCCAAATCGCGTTTTTACATTCATCAGCTTTTCCTTTTGTAGAAAAGAGAAAATAATTAATTGGTGGTTTATCATCAATGCTGTGTTCTGATTGGATGAGCTACTACTAGGCTAAAAGTCATATCCTACTAATTGCAAAAAGGTGCTGGCTTTGAAAACCAAAACTTATTTGCATCTTTATATTTGGCCAACTAGTTGGACCAACAATTAGTCCTATAGCCCTACTTGCCTATGAGTCAATAGCCCATTCGTGCTCGAGGACTAATAGACCCTTTTCGAGTTCCAAATTACCGCTGTGTTTTTTGATAACAGACTCATTTGCACAGGCTAAGCCTCGATTTTGTGCAGAATATTCACGTGTTCCATTCAAGGTCCATCAAGTTTCAAAGTGTTCGTATTGTTGAAGTTGTGCATTCTTTACTTTACCGTTGGTATTTGCGAGTAATTAGACACTGATTCGAGGCTAACACTCTGCAAATGAGTCTGTAATCAAGAAACACAGCGGTAATTTGGAACTCGAGAAGGGTCTATTTCTAATTATAAACTTTACCAGGACTTTCGACAATTCTGACACCAACTACGCATGCGCATCAGCATGAGTAATAAATCGACCTTTTGTGATGAACATTCTTATCACGCGTGAACCAATTAAAAAACTAGGGTTCCTTTTTTAAAGTAAAGCTCGAAATTAAGGTATTGACAGTTGGACGCCAAAATCCTCACTTAGAGAGACGGACCGGGAGTGAAAAACGTCTACGCATGCTTTAAATCCGTATGCAATTAGTAGACTAAAGTCCGCGTGCTATTGTAAAAATATCTAAATTTGACTTTCAAAAGGCCAAAACGTTTTGTATACTCGGAGAAAATAAACATTTCTTTTATGGCTCAAACTCTTGTAAATTCTTAAAAAAGGGCTGAATTGCACGCATGCGCAAACGTTTTCCTCTAGTGTCAGAGACGACTTTACTCGGTGTGATAAAAAAAGGTAACATTGAAAAAACAATTCCTTTTACATATTGAAATATTAAAAAATGGTGCCGGTAAGTCAACGCCACCTGCTCATCGAAGCGGTTTGACAATACGACAATTCATCTTGATTCATATCGTAATGTTTTTCTGACTAATATAGATGGAAAGAATAATTCAGAAAATTCAAATAAATAATCTTAGAAATATTAAAAGCTCACTGGCTTATTTCCTAATCGTATAAAGCTTGATTATCACAAAATAAATCATAAAATAAATGAATAAATAAATACTGAAATAAGAAGAAAAAAATAGCTAACGCGGTGTTTGGAACCTCTGATCCAACACTCGCTCTCGTTTAAGAAATACTACTTCTCTCATTTATCTTGTAGCTATATATATGTATATATTTGTTATTATGATTTAAGTTTTTGTCAGGTGCACTTAATCTGGAGCCAAGCTCTGTTGTGCTTACCCCTTCCATGATAGCTTAGAAACTTAGATAATTATCATGGATAAAGTTATGTAAATAAATAAATGAATATGTTGTCTACGGACTTACCTCGAAAACATGGCCATGTTATTAGAAAAAGGAACAAAAGCTGGCCAAAACATACAGTAAATTTGAACCACTTTGGACCACTTTGGACTACTTTGGAACACATTTTAACTTGTCTCTCCAGAGTAAAACTCAACCGATCTGAAGTAACAACCGTCAAGTCTACGCAAGAAAGAAAAATGCTTCAGCTGGCCAATAAATACCGTTTCTTCGGTTATTTAAATATTCAATGCATTTATACATGTCAGTGCGTGCAGTTAGTTCTGTCAATCGCAATAATATAAGACACAAAAAACTATTGTTCCAGTGGACTGTACCACGATATGATTGGCTTTGCCAGTACCTCACCTCTCCATGGTTTCCAGCCCTACGACTCGAAAGGTATATATAAAGTTATATAAATGCCAACATATTTGCGAATGCGTGCGTTTCCGCATGTTTTCCAAGATTCAAGAGCATTTTACGGAGCAGCTTTCGCGGTATTGAGAAAAGAAATGCTCGTTCCTCTGAATATATGTACAAATAGATTTACTTTTAATTTTATTTTAATTTTATACTCAGAATTTTTATAAATTTCAAAGATAGCTTTTGAGCCATTAAAAGTCAATGCAATCTTTTTCAAGGGAATATTAAATCACAGACGAGTCCACGTCCGCCATGTTGGTGATACATACAACATAATGCTGACAAATCTTTTATCTAGTTGGATTTAACAAAGATGGCGGCCAGATATCAGTTTTAGTTTGTGGCAGGCCGATCTAAAATGCATTAAAAATTGTCCATTATCAAACGAAAACAACTTAGTCAGATGGAAAATTTTTAGTGTTCAAAAATGCTCTGTATGTAAAAACAACATTGTGTGTGTGTGTGTGTGTGTGTGTGTGTGTGTGTGTGTGTGTGTGT